ACGCAGCCAGCACAGCGCCCCCCTGCCCATCTGCACGCCCGCCATACATACCACCCATGGCGCCTCTGGGGACGTGGGCAGCACACTACGACCCGTTTGGTACTGATCTTGAACTCACCCCCCACCCCCACCCCCCGTGCCGTTTCCTGAAGTTTTTCAAAGGAATGCACCTACTCTGTCCTCTAGCGCAGTCCATTGCAACTTGCTGCTTAGCAGAGCGGGCCGCTGCCCTCCGTGTGTAATCCGCATGCGGCACCTGTCAGTGCACCAGGCAGGGAGGGCAAGGGGATCCAGCGGGGCAGACGATATTGCGGTTAGGGGTGAACTGCATCTTCTTAGATCGTAATGCACACCTTCTTAGATCGTAATGCACAGCTGCCGCCACCGTCAGGCGCCCGCACGCTGCGTCATGCTGCCGGCAGGTCTGACATCAGGGAGCGCCCGACAGCAAGTTGGCAATTTGCGGCTGGTTAATCAGCAGCTATCAGCTCAGGGAGAGTAGAGGACGAGCCGTTTCGACACGATGGGGAATGCGATGTCGCTCGTGAGTTCCTCTGCTGCCTCATTGCGCTGCTCTGATTCCCAGATAGGTGATGGGTGCGATGCGTGGTGTCGTTGGGGTGGCGTGGTGGTCTGGAGGGTGGTGGCAGAGTTGGCCAACAATGCTAGCTGGCTGATGGCAGCGCCTGGCAGCCACAGCCCGTCGTGCAGAGACGGGTGGCGGTCCCAATTCCAGCGAAATGGCTGGCTGGCGCGCAGAGCGGTGGACGCGCCCACCGCCCGCCTGCCCGCCCGCCCGCCCGCCTCTACCCCTGCCGCGCAGGCTGCTTCCGTGGGCGTCCCGCTGCTGGGAGGCATGGTCATCGGGCTCTCCATCGCTCCTGAAATCAAGGGCTGGTACAAAAGTGAGCACACCACGGGGTGGAGAGGAGTGCTTCCCAGCAGGCCACCACCACGTCACCACCCACTGATTTTTCCTCCCCGCCTGCAGCCCTGAAGAAGCCATCCTGGAACCCGCCCGACTGGCTGTTTGGGCCCGTGTGGAGCGTCATGTACTGCGCCATGGGCCTGGCGGCACACCGCGTCTACCTGGCGGGCGGCGGCCCGCTGCCGCTGACGCTCTACGCCGCGCAGCTGGCCCTCAACTTTGCCTGGAGGTGAGGCGCCTCCTTCCGCACAGCAGGACAACCTCCTGTTTTGTCAAAGGGAATTCCCCCGCATCGGGAGGGGCTCGAGAGCCCAGCCTCCGCCAACCAGCTGGCGGCAGCGGCACTAGCACCTGCCAGCCCCAGCAGCGCCGGCTCGTCCCGCCGCCCAGCTCGAGGCATGCCCATCCCTGCCTTGCCTGCGCCCTGCGCCTGCCTG